ACACAGAACGGGATGCACTGTTTTGCTCTCCTGCCCTCCTGTGTGTCCCTTCCTACCACTGTGTGTTGCTACTTGGCTCCCACACCCCAGGAATACCTTGCTCATCTGAAAGGGCAAGAAGGACCTTTGGAGCAAGAACAAAATGGGTGCAAGGCTCACCCCCTGCCACTTCTCAGCAGGTGAGATTCCCTGGGTCTGCAGCATGACAGAAATCAGAGCCAGGGCTCACAGGTGTGAAGCACCAGGTGCTGTCAGTGATGGGATCGTTCTCATCAGCTGGATAGGTGGTGAGAAGAGAGATGCCCTAAAGCAGCACCTGCCTTGATCCTCCAGATTCCCTTCTAGCCCTTGTACACACACACACACAGAGAGAGAGAGAGAGAGAGAGAGAGAGAGAGAGAGAGAGAGAGAGAATGAGAATCCTGAGACAGGGCAAGGCATGGTGACCCACACCTGTAATCCCAGCACTGAGGGAACAGAAGCAGGAAGATCATGAATAATAGACCAGCCTTGATTACATAGGAGTTCCAGGCCAACCTGAGCAACATAGTGAGACTTTGTCTCAAATAGAAAGGAAAGGAAGGAGGGGGGAAGGAGGTTGGTAGGTTCTGACACAGATGTCACCTCTGTCTGGCCAGAACACCTTTTTGACAGGTTACAAATCCATTTTCTTCATCTGATTACATAGCTCAAATGGAATGAGAAAGCCAGCTAAACATAAAGAACAATACAACGCCAAGAAGCTACAACAGCAAAGACATTTAATTATGTCATGTAACAAGTCACCAACAAAATGTCATAAAGCTTTTTATATATAAGCATTTCCAGTAATCCACAGTGTACCAGTTTTCTGTCCTGAAGCCCTGAAGCCTTGTGGCCTCAGCACTGCCCCAGCTCCACAACCTGAACTAAGGAGGAGTTTCCTGGTATACTCTTAGGGTTGTTGTTTTGGTTTGCTTTGTTTTCTTTTATTTATTATTTTTATTTTATGTGTACGAGTATTGCCTACATGTGTGTAAGTGCACCCATGTCATGAAATGCCTGAGGAGGTTAGAAGAGGGCATCAGATTCTGGTTATTAGCTGCCATGTGGGTGCTGGGATTTGAACCCGAGTTCTCTGCAAGAGCAGTCTGTGCTCTTAACTGCTGAGTCATCTCTGCAGGCCCTTGTTTATTAAAGACAAAACTCCTTCCCAAGATTCCTCTAACAGGCATCTCAAGTTCAAGGCCAGGACAGAGTCACCAGCCCAATCCTCACTCAGTAGAGACCAGAGAAGTGAGATATCTCTTGCTCGCCTTAAACCTGTCAAAAGCCACAAGGTAAAGCTGGAACACAGAAAAAGCTGGGAGGGGGGTTGACTACCATGTTCAGCTCCATGATCCCACATGGCAGGAGCTTTATCCCCAGGTCCCAGAACATGCAGAGGTATGACACAGACAAAGTCAAGACCTTGCAGACAGATTACCCCCAGGTGCCCAAGCACTAGGCCTGCCTACAAAGCCTTCAGCTGGGGAATGGATAGGGAAAAGCACTTCCGGGCCCTAGGCAAGAGAGAACCCAGAGCCCAACAAACAGCATCTCTGTTGCTGCCTGGCCCCTGGCCAGACTGCCTCATTCCCCAGGACTGACCTCATGCTTCTGAGGCGCTCAAGCTGCCCTCAGTCTGTGCACAGCCTCTCATGGTTCAGTTCTGTGCCAGCAAAGGAAATGGCCAGGCTGGAGGTATGTAGAGAGGTGGGAACACAGAGCACAAACAGGTCCCCACAGCCACCCAGCCCACTAGAGCCTTCTGTCCTGCCAGCCAGGTACACTTCAAAAGAAAGTTGAGAGGAGGCCCATGCCTACCTGTCTAACTGCCCATCTGATGATCTGAGGATATTCTGTAAAGAAACTTTCACACTCTGGCTATTTCTATCTGCTCAGTCCCAGACTTGGAAAGTGAACAAAGGCAGTTAAACTTCATGGAAGGTGCTAGAACATCTCTGAAGCCAGTTTTTCTGCCTCAGAGAGAGCTGGGGAGCTCATGCCAAGCTGAGGTATGTTCAGTGACAAAAAGTAAATGTTTGTTAAGGCCAGACCTGGGGCAGCCACCTACTCTGGCCTTTCTAAGGTCACTAACAGCAAAAACTTCCAGTGTATGAAGGCCTACTATATGCACCTAAAAACTTTAAAAAGCCTTTGTGACCTTTTTCAGCACTTCTAGACTTTTGCTCAGCTCTGGGTCAAACATCTACTTAACAAGAGAGTGGGCAGGGCTGGCAGTGGAGAGAATTGGCACATGTGGTCAGCCACAGGCTACCCATGCTCCTTCCACATCCTTCCAGGACTTCCCTGGACCATCAGAGCTGCCCACTTATTCAGGCTTCAGGAACCAAGCAGGGCATTGATCTTATTTGGGTAGAAGTTGTATTCTTGGACTGGGGGGATAATTCAGTGGGGTAAAAGCACTTGCCATGCAAGTCTGATGATCTGAGTGCCATTCCTGAGACCCACATAAAGACAGAAGATGTGACTCCTGAAAGCCGCCCTCTGACCTCCACACGCATGCTGTGGTGCACATGCACAAGCACACAAATACACACAGCAAGGACACATGTAATAAAATTTTTTCAAAGTTTTATTCTCACTCATTCACAGGAGCTAAGAACCACATGAAAGAGGCAAAAGGCCTTGGTTTGTCTTCCTCTGGGTTGAGCCAACAGCAACCCAAAGATTTAAACTTTGCCTGCTGACGTTTTCCTCAGAACGGTGACTCCCCTTCTTGATAGCATGAAAACTCTGCATACATTGAAAGTATGTAGCCTGCTGGGCTTCATGTACAGAGTGGAATTTTCCATTTATAGAATAATCATCTTCATACACTCTGGGGGCTGCCTTCTCGTGGTAAGAGCCCAAGTTCAGCGTCAGCAAACCTGCCAGGCTTCTGCCGGAGCCCCACAGCACTCAAGCACTTCTGTTTATTTTTGGTGGGAGAGGAGGAGGAAATAAAGGACGACTTTGAACTTGAGTGCCAACACAAACTTTAAAAAGGAACTACATTGGCAGTGTAGAGAATTACTGACTGGTTTCAGGACTCCTATCAACCACTGGGGGTTAGGAAGTGAGGAAGACCATGAGACACACATCTTCTAGCTAACTGACAGGTGGTCAGAACAGGCGTTCCTTGACTGCCTCAGGTCCTACTGTGTCTGCCAGTGGGTCCTGAATGGCGCCCCGTGGGCAGGAGTACCAGCCAAAGACACATCATCCCAACTCCCTTGAACTTTGCATTTGAAACCCGCTGATGTAGGTACCAACTTAAGTCTGAAATGCCTTCTTGGGCTGTGGTGGTTGGGAGGTCAACTGGCCAGGAGTAATGGGGCCTGAGCCCTAATTCTGGCTGTCACTTGACCATCTCTTCTTGGGGGGGGGGTCTTATTTTCTTCACCAGGACTGAATGATCCCAAAGACCCCTTCCATAGTTGACCTGATTCACCCGTACATTTACACTGGGCATCATGTGCTGGGCACAGCAAGACCTGTGACTGTGGCCTGCCTCATGAAGGCTGCCAGCATCAGGACCCCCGCCTCCTTGCTCACACTGCACTGTATGGGTCAGAGTGGGAAAGCAAGCCCAACCCTGCCACCTGCCCAGCCACCAGAGTAGGCATTCTAGAAGCACATTCAGTGCATAAAACTTTCCCTACTTTCTAGTTTTTATTGTTTGGGTTTGGATTTAAGTTGCCCCTTTTCCTCCTTAAAAAATATGACTTTTGCTGGGCATGGTGGCGCACGCCTTTGATCCCAGCACTCGGGAGGCAGAGGCAGGCGGATCTCTGTGAGTTCAAGGCCAGCCTGGTCTACATAGTGAGTTCCCGGACACCTCGGGCTACAGGGAGACCCTGTCTCAAAAAGACCAAAAAAAAAAAAACAAAAAACAAAAAAACGATCTGACTTTCGTTCACCACAGTTCTCACCAAAAAGTGAGAAAATGTTCATTTTAAAGCATTTAGACATCGAATATCCTTTGTTTTTCAAATTGCACACCTACTAGACTTCGATCCAGGTCGCCAGGAGGTAAGGAGCCAACCACTGTCCTTGGCTCTTAGGGCCCAGAAGAAATCATTTGTCTGGATTTCCGCTCCTGTCTAAGTCGCCAGCCAGCCTATGCCCTCTCCCGTCCCCAGGCTCTGAACACCTGTTGGCAAGCGACTTGCTACTACAAAACCGTGAGTTCCCCGAGTCTCTGGTTTCTGGGAGGATCTCACCCAGTGGAAAGCGCTCCTGAGCGCTCTGACAACCTTAACCACTGATCTGAAGGGAGATCGCGCTCAGCCCTGTCTCCCCCAGCTTTTCTTGCTGATGGTGCTCACAGGCAAGGGAAAGCGGGCTTGTCACAGTGAGCCCGGACCCAGCAAGAGCTGCAGGTGGATGCGCGCATCCCGGTGTCCCCATCGCGACCGCCGCCCACCGCCGCCTCAGCACCCGGCACAGGAAACGGTGGGCCGGGTCAAGGCTGCAGACCCAGGTCCCGGGCGCTGGGGGGGGGGCGGCCCCCCGCCGTGCCGCACCCCGCCCCAGCACCTCTCCCCACTTTCCCCGTGGCCTCCCCGCCGCGCGTCGCTCACGCCCCTTCCCCGGCCGCTACCAATCAGCATCCGGAGCGGCGCCCGTGGAGCTGGGGCCCGGGGTCTGTAGCCAGTGAGCGGCGGGGCCCAAGGCGGCGCCTCGCCTGCCCCCTAGCAGGATGACCGGCGCCCCGCAGCTGGCGAACCGGGCGCGGGAGGCGCGCGGGGCCGCAGAGGAGCGCGCGACCGCTTCCGCTCCGCC